ATGCACCAGAAAAGCAACGATGACAATGGTGAACAAGAAATGGATCGTGGTGGCAAAAATAAGATGTCAAAGACTCTAAGAGATCTTCTGGGCACGAAAAAAAGCACGCATGTTTCAATCCCCAGACCTGATGGCAATAATGAATAGTTTATCTTTTTTGTTGGGAGATCTGTTACACTTATAACCTTTTTTTTTTTATTTCATTGAAACATTTTCGCTCGAGGTTCAAGCATAATTTGTGATATTTTGAAATCTCTATCCGGTGCTTATTGCCTTATTGGTCCACCAAAATCCTAAAACAAGGGCACTAGTAGATCGGAATCATCAATGACTCGGTGCAAGAGACAATTCTTTGAGTTTTATAGCCTTATAGGGCCTACACATTTAAAAGAGAGCTTATCACTTCTCTGAAGCGACAACCTGTCTTGTTTCTCATGTAAATTCCAGTAAAAGTAGAAAGGGAAGAAGGTAAGTAGATACATACATGCATTCTCTTGTTTTTCTATATTTAAATCATGTAGAACTAGGTTCTAACTCCCCTGAATTAGATTGGAGGTTGTCTTTATCAGATTTTTTGTAAGTTGTAGAGAAGCAAGAAGATAGCTTAGTTTGCAACATTTCGGAGAACGGGGGCGAAATTAGTAGAGCCATTCCACATCTTGTTTTGGTAAGTGTATTTGATGTGGATGGTTCCTCCAAACAGTTATATAGAAAGAAGGAAATAGATAAAAAGAAGAAAAAGGGTTAACTGCCACATCAGCAAAAACTAATGGAAGATAACGCCCGGGATAAAAATGAAAACGAACTAAAAGTTTGATGACTGTAATACAAGTTTTAAAGTATGATGACCAAAATGCAAGTATCTAAAAGTTTAGGAATTATTTATATACTTTACCCTAAAAATAATGGTGATTGCATTCTTCCTCTCCCATGTGAGAAGGGCTCCACCACGTTGCCTCACAAGCGGACCCCGAAAAAAAATGGTGTCCAGTTAATAAGCCGTTGTACCTTTTCCCCCTTTAAATAAATACTTAATTCATCAATAATAATAACGGTTTAATAATATCAATTTAATTCAATTTATTTATTTTCAAAAGTAATTAATTTAATTAATAATGTCGAAAAAATCTTTGATTATCAATGACTAAAAATTTCGCATGTGCAAACTACGTGAAGACCTCATTAACTTGTATTTATACGTGTTATTGTTCGACACTAATTAAGCGGAGAATTCAAATGAAGTAGGAGATTTTAATTTTTGAATGAGTCCTACTCGGAGGTCCATCAATCATACATCCATATTATCAAAAACTTGAATCCAAAGAGAAAAAAAATTATATATGAAAATGATTTTTTACTACTAAAATATATGATTGTTTAAGTGGTTGGTGTAATTTACGTGTCCATTGATAGAACCCAGTGGTAGGGATTGGTGACCTTTACACCTTTGAAAATTATATTCTTTCGAAAATGTTACAGCGCATCTATTACCCTAATATCAATTTTAAAAAAATGATTTATTAATTCCACATAATTTCATTCATCATAATTGATCCTCCTACTTTAATTAATATCTTTAAAATTTTAAATAAATGGTCCTTTTTGGAAAAAAAATATATTAAGTATATTTTTTTAATACGACGTCTAAATTATTCGAATATATCCTCATCTATAAATCAAATAATATTACACAGTTAAGCATGCTTGAATCTACGTCCTCCTATATAGCAGCGGCCCAATTTAGGAACTAAAAAGTGAGGGTCTAAAATTATAATACTCCGTTTTAAAAAAATTTGGATATGCAAATTTCTTTATTTTTCATATTTCCATTAACCAATTAAACTGAATCTCTCCAAAATAATGAGTGTGCAAGTGCTCCTGAAGAGCCACATACATCCGCCATTGTTATGTAGTGTGGTTAATAAAACTGCAAGTGTTCCTCTAGAGAGCCACATACATCCGCTATTGCTATATAGTTTGATTAATAGAACCGATCAAACTAGGAATTAAATAAGAAAATATGATAATTGGCTGATGTACTTTTTTAAAATATGTATAGAACCTAAAATTTCCCATGCCATTTGAAAATTGAAATTATGGTTATAAGATTATTATTTTCTACAAAATTACCTTCTAAAAATTTGATCCATTCACAAGTTTTATTTTTATAAATTTTGAGTAGTTAAATAGTAAAATATTGTTTGGGTTTAAAAAAATAGCATAATAATAGTTGGAGAAATACAGGCTATATTAAATTAAAATGATTTTAAGCGAAGATCTTTGAGTTGTTGGACTAAATTAAAAATATGTAATACTTTAAAAATAAATAATAACCCTAAATGATTACGTTGTAAATAACTAAAAGTCAACAAAATTAAGATAATTTTGTATATTAGGGCCTTTGGGGTATGGTGGTTGGGATCTGAAAACAAAGATTTATGATTTGATTTTTGTAGGTATAAATCATGATGAGATGTAAAGAAACATTCCATAAGAAAACAAAAGATAAATTAAAAGGACACAACCCATGTTATATAATAATAATAATAATAATAATAATAATATGCATGTTTACAGCTTGGTTTAGATAAAAATTAATTTTTTTCCATGTAAACATAGTTTATTTTTCGATTTTTCACTAATGTTTTTATTTGTTTATCTTTGAACCTAATGTATTTTGCTTGTTTCTGTGTTGAAGTTAAGCGTAAAAGGAAACGAATGATTGGAATAATTTACAAGAGTTGATTAACTTGAGCTTAAGTGCCTAAACTAAGAATACCATTATTGTTATAAATAATTATTAATTATTAATTAAACTTTCGGTGGTGTCCTACTCTGGATAGATATATGTCGATGTTCGTTGTAAGAAAATGGCATACCACTTGCAGCGGCCAAAGATGGCATATGCCTTGATCAGGTGCGGCCAGCACCAGTCAGACTGGATCATGTGCTCCTTCGCATCATGCAACATGCTTTTGCCACCTGGAATTCAACGACCAAAAAAGGTTGTCAACGGTTTGGTTTGCGGTTAGTAAACATAAACATCATCATGATTCATGATTCGTTTATTATACACTATGAGAGATTTAGATATCAAGTTACGACAGACGTGAAATTACTTAATTTTGCAATAATTTAATTTGGATTAATATTTTAATAAATACATCAACTATTAATATAGATACTATTTTACACATTATCGGTTGAAATATTCTCAAATAATAACTAACATAATTTACACTCAGTATAATGACCAATAAATAAAAATCGTACAAAGATTAATTCATACATTGTGATTTAAATTGGTGTTATCATGAATTTTTAAAATGATCTCATTGATTAAATTTTTTATTTTTTTATTATAAATTAAATTCAAACAACGTTATATACACTTATATGTGAACTTGAATATTTAAATTTTCTAAATATAAATATAAATTTCAATTTACAACTTGATTCAATAAAAAGTACGTGGAACTTATAATTTAAAAATATCAACGATTTAATTAAAAGATGATTTTGAGAGTTTTTAATGGATTATTGTAGGAAGATGGGTGTAGCGATTATTGGAGGTATTTGTCATGATTATGAGACAACAACCTATTTGATGTAAGATCACATGGCTCCACAATGGTACATATGGGACAATTCAATTACACATTTTGAAACATAACAAATTTAGGACTTAATTTATATTTAACGTATTAAAAAAATTAATTTTGGTACGAACCGAGCTATCTCAGTGGTTATAGGGATGATTATTATTCCTAAGGGTGCGTTTGGTTCACGGAATATAAGATTACCAATTGGAATAAAAGATTACCAGAGAATAGAATTACTGGGAATGTTATATTTTATGTTTGGTTGGTTTAGCAGGAATGTAAGATTACCGTGTTTGGTTAAAGGAATAAAAGATTATTGGAATGTATATTTGACCAAATTATCCTTATTATATATTTGTATAATATTACAAATTGTAAAATTTTATATATTTTCTTTAAAAAAATTAAATTCATAATATTTATATAAATTTTTTTACAAAATTAAAAATATAAAAAAGGTTTAATGAAAGGGTAAAAAAAATTTAATCCCTGAACTTCATATAAAATTTTAATTATAGACTTTTTTTTTTGTAAATCTAAAATAATTTAAGGATAAATTTGTAATTTAACCTTCGTAGAATTTTTATTATTCAATGATAGAAGAATGATATTTTTGAAAAAAAATAAAAATTTAAGGGCATTTTAGTCCAAAATGCCGGTAATGTTACAATACCTAAAAGAAGGGAGATAATGACATTCCCGGTAATATACCCCAAAAAATCTACTATTGGTAATAAAACATTACCGGGAATGAGATTCCCGGCCAACCAAACATGGGAATGTGAGATTCTCATCCAATGGGAATCCCACAATCCTTGAACCAAACACCCCCTAAAAGTCTAAAATTTGAGCACCATCGACTGTAAGATATTTGAACGTTCATTTTTAAATGATACCATCACTTATAATCACCCTAGATTAAAAAAATTAGTTTTGATAAAATTTATATTAATTTCTTACATATTATATCTAAGTTGTCCATATAATAGATACACACGCCTTTTATATATATTCCAAGAAAATTATCCTTAAGAGTAAAATTTTCCTTCCTCTTTTTCTAAGTATAAATTGTTCAAAAAAAGATAACGACACAAAAAAACTTGATTGAAAAATATACTAATATTTTGAAGACTAAATAAATACATTTTAAAGTTTGAAGATTAATTTAAAATCTGAATTATATTGGAGGATGCTTGTGGAATTAACCCGTAATGAGAAAAAGGTAAGTATGGAGATTGACGGCTTTTTAAATCGCTGCTCTCGAACGAACATATGGAATAAAAGAGCTGATAATGAGTGGCGGGTTCCAAAAACAAAAACAAATAGATTTTAAGGACAGTGTTTGAGATCCGTGTTTTTTTTTCTTTAAAAAAAATTGCTGCAATTTCCAATACTAATCCACATATAAAACATTAGACTGTCGTGACTCGCACACACTCGCTCAGAGTTGGAAGGACTTTCTAAAAGAGTGAGGGATAGCAGAATAAGCAAAAAGAGAAGGGAGAAAATGGGAAAATCTACTTCCTGTTTCAAACTCATCACCTGCGGCGGCGATTCAGCTGGAAAAGACGCCGCCGTTGATGTTACCGAGGTATATTGCCACATGTTTTTTCCTTTTCGTTTTCATCTTTTTGTTGCTTTGCGTTGAATTAGGATGTCCGTGTTTTGTTTCTGAGTGCATTCTTCATCTTTCAGCTTCAGAACAGTCGGTTCACCTTGTGTGTTTGTTTTTGATAATTTGTTCAATTTGTATGCATTATTGATCGATGAATCGGAGTTCGGGAACTTGCCCTACTCCACAATGTTAAGATCTGAGAAATCCTTGCTTTGAAATTCTATCTGCAATGTTGAACCTGCTTTTTTAAATCTGATTATTTCCAGAATGTATGAAACGCAGATTGTGTTTTGGCATACAGTTTCAAATCTCTTAAGGTTTTAAATTTTATTTTCTTTCAGCTGGTTTTGTTATTCTTTTAAAAGGGAAAAGTTATGTACCATCATTATGTGCCGTTATACCAGATTTGTTTACTGTTTTCTTTATTTGATTAATTAACTCATGCCATCGATGATTGGAAATGACTGACAATCTTCAAATTTTTAGTAAATTTGAGGTTTACCATTTTATTTTTCTTCATTTCTTTATGTATATGTAGTCGCGCATCTTTCGTCTCTTGGATAGATGACAATTCAATAGTACTGATATGCCCGTCTTGGACTCCATTGGTGATAGCTATTGTTAAATTTTAATCAAAAAGCAATTCGTTCTGGATAGAATTTAGAGTTAAGGACATTTTAATTTATTTAAGTTCGATCGAAAAAGCAATATGATCAGGCTAGAGTTTAGAGTTAAGAGCTAAGAGCATTTTAATTCATTTAGAGTTAAAATTTCATTTCAGAGTAAAAGATCAAGTGACAGAAAGGGATGGAGTTTTCGGAAGAGATCTGAACGACATCGGGTGCTGAGCAACACTGTGATACAAGAAGCTACCTCTGGAGGACTTAAGGAAAGTCAAGAATCTGCTGGTTTTGAGTTTCAGCAGCCAGATGTCTCCGTTTCTCCTAATAAAACCTCCACCGTTCAGTTTACTGAAGAGAAACCTCAGCTGATCACCCCTAAAGAGTACATTGAAGAAAGATCTGAGTTCGTGGTACCAAAAGAGTACGATGAAGAAAAATCTCACTCGGTGATGCCAATAGATGTTGCCGAAGAAAAATCTCAGTTGCTGACACCGATTAAATGCTCTGAAGAAAATTCTCAGCCATTGACTCCAGAGGAACCAAAAGTGACTGAACCTGTCTCTGCCACTACAAATGAGGCTGAAGATGATTCCACCCCGGATGAATCTCTTGCTGTTACCATCCAGACAGCAATCAGAGGGATCTTGGTATACTTTCTTTCTCAATACGAATGTAGAACTTGTGAGTTGGTAAAATTTCTTACCTTTAATCTTATGCATTCATTTGCAGGCACGGAAAGAGCTAGAAAAGCTTAGGAATTTAGTTAAGTTGCAGGCTGCTGTACGCGGGCACTTAGTCCGAAGGCATGCTGTCGGGACCTTACGCTGTGTTCAAGCCATTGTCAAAATGCAACTTCTCGTACGTGCTCGCTTATCTCAAAAAGGGTCTTATGCCGAAAAGAAGCCGGATGGCAAGGGCCAAGACGACAATCAAAGATTGGTAATTCTTACAACTAAAATCAATAATTAGGAGTCACAGGGCTGTATTCCTTGTATGTTCTGGTTCATTATTGATGCGTGTTCGTAGTTCATCATGTTTAGAGTACATTCTATGAGCAAGTTTCATTTTCAAGCATGAAAGTTCAAAGTGATCCATCATGACCTTTAAAATATGCGCTTCATCTTGCCTGGCACAAATCTAATTTTGAACACGGGTGGAGAGCGAACTCTATCTGCAATTTGCATGTTCTTACTGTTCAATTTCTGTTTGAGAGAGGGTTACAGTTGTCTAGATGGAGAAAGTTTTGGCACAATATGTTACGCACTCTATAAGTTTTGGCACAATAGTTTTAACCATTATTCTTTCTTTAATTATCTGAAGCAGGGAAGCTCAGCAACAAAAAAGAACTCAAGTTACAATTCCATGGAGAAGCTGCTTAGCAATAGGTTTGCTCGTCAGGTATGTTAAATTGACATTCATTATCTACTTGTTTTTAACTATTAGCTGTCGCCTGTCTCTCAAATTATTCCTACCCCATCTATACTCAAAATTTCCTTTGATTGCAGATAATGGATTCGACTCCGAAGACCAAACCTATCCACATCAAGTGTGATGTATCTAAACCTAATTCTGCTTGGAGCTGGTTGGAGAGGTGGATGTCTGTGTCTTCATCTGAAAAGTCATCGAGAGCAGAGTTACCTATTGAACAACCTGAACAAACGAAAAGCCACGATTGTGACTCTCCACTTACTGCTGCGGTTCCACCTGAGGTTATTGTGTCAAATGAACCTGATGTAGGGGAGACATTGGTTTCATCAGAGAGTGAAGAAAATCTGATCACTTATGATGCAGCCAACTTTAATTTTGAGGCACACCAACCGGCTTCCTCTACTGTGACGGATGATTTGGAGCAACACCAGATTGACCATGTGAGTACATCCGACCTGAAAGAGACCTCTCTAGAGATGAACTCACAAGGGAAAACAATGCAAACCGATGCACATTCTCCAATAGAGGTCAGTTGTCTTTCTAACAAGCCTGAGATGGAGAGTGAACAACCCAAACATTCTATGAAGAGATCTGCTTCTGAACAACTGGAAAAGGAGGCAAAGAAATCTGTATTTGGATCAAGAAAGGCAGGTAATCCTGCATTTATTGCTGCACAAACCAAATTTGAGTTGAGTTCAACAGCCAAGCCACGTAGATCAATTGATTCATCCCACCAAGATGTTAAAGTGGAATCAAACTTGGATACTGTGTCATCTGGGACAGATATGATAAGCGGATCAAAGGAGCCTAGCTTCGCAGAAAATCCGGTCCTCAGTAATTGGAAGATTCATCATGGTGGCTCTGAATGTGGCACTGAACTTTCTATTACTTCCACTCTCGATTCGCCTGATACATCTGAAGTTGGAACCTTAGAAAATGAAAATGGAGCCAAAGTCTTGGAGCAAGAAAACCGCAGTTCTAATAGTCTTAAAGATTTGGATGTGAAAGGCAATGATACAGTTGAGATGCCAGTGCCTGATTCTTCTCTGTCTGTTGCTGATCAGCCTGAGAAACTTGAAGGTTCAAAAGCGGGATCAACCAATTCAATTGTTGTAGACTCCCCTCAAATCGAGCAGGAGCCACTCGAAAGCACAGCTTATCTGCAGAGAGAACAAGATTCTATAAATCAAGCATACAGGTCATCCCCCGAAGTCTCACCGCGCAGCCATATGACTGTTCCGGAGTCCCAAGGAACTCCTTCTAGCGAGGTATCAGTGAACCCTAAAAAGAAAAAAGCTGGCAAGAGCAGTCAAAAGCGCAAGTCCTTGTCTGCAGCCAAATGTTCTCCATCAACTCCAGTTGCTAGTGGCGTAGAACAGTTGCCCAAAGATCAGAAAAACAGTAAGAGATGCAATTCTTTTAGCTCAACTAGACCTGAAAACATCGATGAGGAGCCAAGGGATAGTAACAGTAGCAATTATGTCCCTCGTTTCATGCAAGCCACGGAATCTGCAAGAGCTAAGCTCAATGCAAATAATTCGCCAAGATCAAGTCCGGACGTGCAAGACAGAGAAATATCTATCAAGAAGAGACATTCCTTACCTGCCACTAATGGGAGGCAGGGTTCTCCAAGAATCCAGCGATCATTGTCTCAAACCCAGCAGGCTGCAAAAGGAAATGGTTCCAATCCTGTTCCTGGTATGTTCTAAACTGTATTATTATAATGTTATATTAAACTGAAGCTTATTCATTTAGCGTACTGTATGCCATCGTGGCATGATGCCTTAACGACATACTTGAACACATAATTTGTTTCAGAAAGGAGATGGCAAAGGTGAGGGCTTATTCGTAGCCAACCGTGGGCCGTGGTACCATGGCATTCGACCCCTCAGATTGAGAAGCGGAGCTGATTGTTGTTCTTACCATCTTAGTCATATGCCAAAGAATTATTTCGCCACATCAGTTAAATATATCTTGTATATTAGTAGACCACAACCATTGACATTTCATTATTATTTTTTTTCCTTGAAACTTTCAGCCTGGGATGTTTGTGTATTTTTTGTTGAACGGTGTTTGGTGTGATATTTATTCAGGTTTGCCACGGCATTTCTTTAGGGTGTCTGTTCGGTGTTTTAAGACAGGCGAGAGCTTTTATTTTGATCAATATATTTCCTGTAATAACTCGGCCATCCTCCGGTGCTTAATTGGCCACCATTTCCAGGACTATCTTTTATTTTCAGTTCCACTGATTAATTCTATAAATTAATTCTCGTTCTAGAGTCCTTTGTTAGCTCTGCATTAAACCTCCTGTTTGCAATATATTATATTTTGCATGCACCCATTATGCAAAGAAAACGAAAATGGATGGAGTACATAAGCAATTAAAAACATGCTAGTATAGCTTGTTATAACAAATAGTAATCATAGATTTCACTTTTTTTCCCCATTTTTGGTCTTGCACCAAGCATGTCAAATTTTGGGCAAGAGTGCCTTAATGAATCAATTCACCATGCTTTCTTAGTACTGCATTTTTTTTTGGGTGGTGCTGCCTTTTCTTGGTATGTTGTAACGGTAGAAAGAGGGACCCATGCAGTTAAAACTAAAGTTATTTAGATTTATACAGCCAATGTACAACATAGCAAAGAAACTCTCTTGAATAGTTACACATGATCTCCACGGATAATTACTGCTCTGTATTATTAAAATAAGAACACTATAGTGTATGACGATGGTTTCCTTTTGAGTTCAGTTGCTCAGCGATCTTCTCGCTGTACTCGGTTGGGATCTCCCGTCATATCCATCATCATCTTCTCAGGTGAATCTTCCCAATTTGCAAACGTTTTTAAGTCAACCTGCAGAAGGGCATATTCATTCTTAAAATCAACTGCTAATTTTATAAATGAGAGGGTTTTAATATACTTGTATCTTAAAGGGTTACCTTTCGTCTTTGCTCAGTGAAGAGTTCTTCTCTCTTCTTGTATGAATTCTGGACTTCCTTTGCATTCTTACCACCAAGACCCCAAACTTCAACTTCTGATATTGAAGCTTCCACTGGTAGAAATCCCTGCAACAAATCAACTCATAGTTCAGCATCGGACTTTCAATCACTCAAGGCAGTCGAAGGAACCCAAATCAGTTTCTTTCCTGAGGGTTAGCACTCTAAGGGACAAGAGACCAACTGGTGGTATGAACAAACAGCGTTACAGGATTAGGCATTTGCTATATGAGACTATTTATTACAGTTATATGTACCTGACTAGGGATAAGGGGACCCTGTTGGTAAGCGAACAAGCAGCTTTGCAAAATCTTCATCCATAAATATCCTCTCATTTGTAGTAGTTCCTCCAAATGCAATTCCCACAGGCTTTGGATGTGCTTCATAAACTCTTCCTGTAGGGTGCAAATGGCTGTATACAAAGTTCCTCTCTTTCCCTATTAAAAATTACAAGTAATTGCATTCACCAAATCATCAACCAAAACAATGCCTGATAGAAATCTGATAAGATTGGCCAGGTAAGAAATTAATACTAACATCCTTTATAAGCTCTCATCAACAAGACCCTCTTTCGCAGACTCCACCAGAAAAGGGAATAAAAGACTGACAAAACCGAACAATGGCATATTTCCTCTTGTTTGATCACATACCTGAAGGTGAAAAGACATGGAAGATTGGACTTATAGCATATAAGTTCCCGGAGCTCCCGTAGAATGTATCCTCATTTTCAAAACCCTGCTGTGTAAGTGCTCCTACTATCCATTTCCTGCTTTTGCTACTATCCTGGTTGGCATCTTCCGAGTTAGCAGAAATCAGAATAAGTAATGGACCATGATAACCTTCAACATTTGACCAGAATCTGTTCAAGCCTTTTCCATGAGAAGATGACCTAAAAAGTCGAAAACAACCAACCAAATACATAAGAAGTTAAAAACACAGGTCATACAAAGCACACAAAGGATGCATCGTATCTATAAAGGATTTACTAAGAGCTTGGTACTTTACGCATCATATCATTAAAGGGGAAATGACAAACCGATACAGAAGATTTTCATCTGTTACATCAATATCAGAAGAGAAGCACAACTTCAAAATTTCTTCACTAACAGTGCTTCTAGATCCCAAGGAAACCGCCCATGCCCTTCCGCGTGTTAAAAGTAAAGCTTGAGATGCCCTTGAAGAAATATCTCCTGAAATTGATTCCGAGGATCCTGCTTCATCCTGCAATTCATTAAAAAATAGGTATCTAGCTAGTGAATCATACAACTAGATCAAGTGATTTTCGCATAATAATACTGCATCAAAGTTGCAAAAGAAAATAGAGTGGATGTCAAGTACACATGCAAGCAGACACCGGAACAGAATAAGGGAATTCGATGATAGACAAATATAAAGCCAACAATACAGCACCTCTGCAATAAATGAGATTTGAAGTCTTCCAGTAACGAATTGTGTAAAACAGTCCGAAAGTGTCGGTGCCGTCGACAATGCCCAACTAAGAAACTTTCCGACAGGAAGCTGAACATCCAAACTCAGTATATCACAATCCCACACATCGAAGTTGCTATTGACTTCACCACATGAAACAACAGCAGACAACACCAAATGATCAATATCAGGCAACAACAGTTTCCCTTTGCTTTCAGAAGATTTTGAGGTCCTGACATTCCACAACATAGTCCAACACATCCAAAGAAGCAGAAGCAAATCAGAGGGCAGTAAAGACCCATTGATCTTGCAATCAGCATCGTCCGATTCAAACTCCAAATTTGAAGAAAGTCCCGATTTTTTCACTGCCATAGCAAATATCCTCAACAAAATGTTAAGAGACATCGATGCAGACATTCTCCCACAGCACTTGACATAACCTCTTAGAAACCCTATCCAGTTTATGCCACCTTTTTCAGGCATGAAGAACAAGTCTACTATTGATGATCCTAAGTGATCCAACAACCTGGGAAAAGACTCTGGCTTTTGTTGTGATTCGGAAACTGGGTTCTCGTAACTTATATGAAAACATTGCTGTAATCATTGTGAACAAGAAAAAGGGTATCATAAAAATGAAGTGATCGAATGAAAATAAGGATGATTGGCTTTGTAAATTAACTTTACCTGAAGGGTTTGGATGGATATTGTGTTTGTTTGAGGATCGGAGAGTTTTGAGAAGGATTTTTGAAGCAATGGAAGAGCTCCCGTGGCGGCGAGGCTTTCCAACTCTCGTTGCTCCACCGATACTTGCTGTTCGGTCGAAGATGATGCTCCCATTATTGCCAAAAAAAAAAATTAAAAAAAATGAAATTCAGTTTTCGGGATTGAGGTTAGTATCTTTCTTATATCTATGTATATGATTTCTGGAAAATCCAGTATATTTTGGAGTGGCTTTTCGTCGCTCTGAAAAGCCATTCAATGCCAAAATAACGCGGCGCTTTTGTTCGATCTTACCGTGATAGAAACGCACCGCTTCGTTTCTGAAGGAAAAGAAAAGAAAAAGTAAATTTAGGGTAAACTACTCCAATGGTCACTAATATTTGGGTAAATTTTTTTTTCACCACTTATGTTTTAAAAGTCACAAATCGGTCACTAATATTATCGTTTGTTACAAATTGGTCACTCCATGTCAACAACTGTTAATAGGCGTGACGGAAAACACATGTGGATCATTAGCTTCTTACCTGAAATGCTATGGTGGAAGAGAGTTGGGTCTCTAACGGTCATCATATTTTTCCCTTTAAATAAAAACTCAATCCCTAACCCTAATTTATCTATTTTCCTTCATATTCTCTTTTATTAAAAATTTTCTCAAAAATTTCCTAAGAGAAAAGCTAGCTAAGGTGAAGATGGAAGACTCCATTGAAGTTCCTCTTAGTAATTGTGGACAACCAGCTAAGGTTGTGACGACTTGGACAAATGAAAATTGTGGGAGGAGATTTTGTTGTTGTCGAAATTATGGAAAAAGATGAATACATAATGCTATTTTTTTGTTTGGATGGATCCTCCCATGGTGCCTGGGCAAGATTTGTTTGCTTAGGACTGCTGAAGAAATTAAGAAAAGTGGAAAGGGAAAGGAGAAATGAGAGGATTTTTTTGGCTTGTTATCTTGATTTTATGTCTATATAAGTTTTTGGTTAGCAAATGAAAATGAAACTGAAAAAACGAGAGGATTTTCTTTGTGAGATGAATGATGCTTTGGCTGGATAGATTGAAGGTTTTTGTTGAAGAATGTTGTTATTTGAATGGTGGATTAAAAGTTTTTTGTAATGGAAGTTTGTATGTGTTTCCAGATGAATTCTTAGAGTGGTGTTATTTTACAATGGTTTTATTTGATTTTTTTCATTGTGCATTGAACTGCAAGAATAATCAAAATAATATTGATTTCTAATTGTTGCACAATTTCAATATCACAAAAAATGTCAAAATATGATATATTTCATTATCAATAAACTGATACAAGTCAAAATACAATTCAGAACAATAATTTGTCAAACATGCTCTAATTCAATATAACACTAAGCCTAAGCTTAATTAAAGTCAAAATATAGACTGGTCCTAGGTAAACTACAGAAAAAGAATAGTTATACATCAAAGCCAAAAAAACAAAAGCAGATATATGAGAAAGTAAGTCAAGTTCCTAGGTAAACTATATAAAATGTTCCATCATCACTAGGATATACTTCATTCTTTTGATGCAGTGTAAAAATCTTGAAGGGGAGGGTTAGAAACACAAGATTCTTGTCTAGAAGGCATCGCATGGACTGTTGTAGATAGTGATATCATCCAATGAACTATTGTAGGTGGATTAAGTGGCCTCCTTGTAGGTAATTTTTGCCTTACTTGTTTATGCCTTGTAGGTTAGATGGTTCGAGCTTGGAGTTGAATGTTGGGATGGCTAGTTAGGTACATGTCGTTGGCTGGATCGAGATTCATGTTGGTTTAGTCTCCTGTTACTGCCAACTTCTCCTCTACAGGTCCTCTTATTGTGGCCAGGTTTACCACACTTATAGTAGTTTCCCATCGAATATTTATTGCTTAATTTAGGCTCATTCTTGTTTCCTTCATCAACTTCTTTTCTCCTTTTTTAGTTGGTCTTCCAGGTGGTCTTCTCAATTCTGGAGGCAGAAT